CCGCTTGTTGGTTGTTTTTCTATCAGGATGCTGGATTTGAATGTTTTTCAAAGATGTGTCCAGCATTGTGGCGTAGCGGGTGAAGCTGCTGCCTGTGGTGCCAGCATCCCATATGGGTGCTGGTGTGTGTCCTTGCTGCCCCATTTCCCATCCAGCTCTCTGTTGTGGCCTGGGAAGACAGAAGATACCCAAGCGCTTGGGCCCCTGCACCCGAGTGGGAGATCCTGAAGAAGCTCCTAGCTTCACATTGGCCCAGCTCTAGGCGTTGCAGCCATTTGTAGAGTGAATCAGATGGAAGATAACTCTTTGCCTCTGCCTCTCTTGAACTCTGCCTTTCAAATAAATATTTTAAAAATTCCCTCTTAAAAAAATATTTCACCTATTCAAAAGGCAGAGCAACAAAGTGAGAGACTCTTCCATGTGCTGGTTCATCCCCCCTGCAACAGCCAGGGTTGGGCCCTACCAAAGCCAGGAGCCAGAAACTCCCATCTGGGTTTCTCACGGTGGTGGCAGGGGCCCAAGCACTTGAGTCATCATCGGCTGCCTTCCCAGGATGCATGAGTAGGAAGCTGGATAGGAAGTGAAAGAGCTGGGACTCGAACTGGCAGTCTGATACGGGATGCGGGCATCTCAAAGTGGCTCCTTGACTCGTTGTGCTATAACGTCCACCCCCCAAACATGCGCTTATTAAACACGTGTGAGGTTGGCATCACATAGACATGCCTCTCCTAGAGTCCGGACTGCACTTTGCTGTCAGACTAACGGGTTTTGAGTGGGGATTTCCAGACTTGGAGTGTACCAGCTTAAAGGGTCAACTAGCAGTAGAGGCAAGGAGCAAGTAGAGGCGAGCTAGAGAGGGCCCTTAAAGATCAAGCAGGAGGAAAGGAGGACTTCGCTGAACCAGACACTTGAGTGGGGCCCGGCAGTCTGTACTTTCACAGTGTTCAAGTTCGAGAATCCATGTGGGCTGCAGGGGTGGCCTTCAGGCGATCGCTGATGACCTGGGCGCCGTGTGGCGCAGAGTGAGGGGGGCTGACCGTGAGCCTGAGCAGCCACCGAGCCCCTCTTGGCTTGGAACAAAGAATGTGCGCTTGAAGCGGAGCCCCGCTCTGGCCCCTGGAGGCGAAGAGGCAGCCCAGAAAGGAGGGAGGCACTTGCGGAATCAGAACACCTCTAGATGGCGGGGCGGTCGGTGAGTCCTTCACAGCCAGGGCATTTTGCCCTCAGCAGCCACACCCTAGCGACCTGAGAAGAACCTGCGAGAAGGCCAAGGGTTCACAGCAAGACAAACTGACCCGTCTACCCTCAAACCGGAGCCTTCATTTCCTCCCCATCTCCGTCTGCGTCGCTGACAATCAGCCGCATGGTCGGGTAGCACAGCTGAGTGCCCCTGGGGCTCATCTGCACGCACACGCAGGAGGAGTTGGAGAAGCTGGCCCCGGAGTGTGCTGAGCTCTGCGGGGGGAGAGTTACTCAGAAGCCTCTGGGGCGAGGCGCGTGCTCGGACCTGCATCTGAAAGACACCCCAAACGCCTGCAGCCACGGTGATATGGTCGCCATCTTCGGTTCAAACCCCCTGCTTGGCTCCATCCTACTTGAGCTTGCTGCCACGGGGTGTGACCCTAGACGACCGCTTCGGTAAGCCTCCCTTTCTCCTCTGTGAAATGGGAACCGTCATCCTGATGCCGATGTTGGTAGGTACGGTGGTGGCTGGCACGCGGTGCGGCGGCCAGTGTGAGCTGTACTGGAGGTGCTTTGCCTGCTGTGGACACGGCTGTTGATGATTTGTGACGTGGATTGAGGGGTTTGCAGCCAGCTCTAAATATTTTTTATGAAATGCATTACACAGTGTAGGGTTCATTTCAGGAAACTTTTTAGGGGCCATGTACATGTTCTGGGTTGCAATCGCAAAATATATCCTGTTGGGGAGGACAGTAAAAGCCATGTGGAACCAGTGACGGAGGGAGACTGTCGTCAGGCCAGCTGTGAAGAGGTGCACTTGCGCGGGCTGCTCTGTGAGGCTCTGCCTTTTCCATCTGATGGCGGCACAGGGAGAAGGCCTGCTCTTGGGTGTGGGCCCAGCAGAGCCTGTGCAGAGTGCCGGGGTGAGACTTAGTGCCGGGCTGTTGATCTGGGGACATGGCTGTGTTTGCTCACAGAGCTCATAGCTCATGGGTCACCTTTTGGTTCCAGTGCGAATGGGTCCAAGCCTCTACGAGGTGCTGCGGTTGGCCGCTGCCCCCTGACGAATGCCCCCTCCCTCGTTCTCAGCCCCAAGTGGACCCTGCTGCTCTGCAAGCTTCAAGCTGCAGAGCTCGGCTTCGGGACAGCTCGAGACCCACACAGCACTCAGCATCGAGTCCTGGCAGGGGAGTCCTTGGGTCTTCGCATGCGTCAGCCATTTGAAATTTCTTTCCAAACTCAAGGTCGACACCCTGCAGGCATTTGCTCAGTTAACTTTGTGGACAGACCAGCTTCTGTCCGGAAGTCTTTTCAGAGGTGGCTGTCGAGGTCACGTGTGGAACCAGTGATCCTGTGGGCTCTTGGCTTTTCTCCCCACTGGAGGTCGGCGTGGGCCGAGTAGGGCCTTGTGGTGGTAGAACGTGTTGGGCAGAAAGGCAACAGCAGTCCTGAGGCAGAACCCGCGGATGGTGAGCTTTGGTCCCCGCCGTGGCCTCTGAGAACCTCAATTTCCCCACCCACTAAGGGGCAGTACCAGTGCCGCCGCCGCTGCCTCCTAGGGTGGCTTACGGACGCAGCCAGTTGGTCGTTTGTGAGTGTCTGCCGTGTAACCAAGTTAAAGTATCTGTTGACAGGATCCCAAAGCAAGCCACCTCTGTTGGCCGCTGCCGCCTCCTCTCAGGGAGGACTGGCACCGCCACTGGCAGGGAGCAGCTCGGCCCCGTGCTCTTGCCCCCCTTGGAGACGAAGTAACAACTCAGTGAAAACGTGGCGCGTAGGGGGAATTCACAGAAATAAACAGAAAATCCCATGGCCAAAGTTAAACTCAAGGTTCCAAGATGACATCACACACACCTTTGTGCCCTTGACACCAGACAGGTGTTCCAATGTCACTAAAACCATTAAGACCAGTTTGTGTAGCTGCATAGAGTTCTGCCTCATAGAACTGCCTACGTGGCCATCATTATGGGATATTCTACTTGCTTCCTGCTTGTCATTATTATAATTGTGTTACAGCTTATATTGCATGAATCTTGGGGTCTCAGATCATTGTCTTTCAACTTTTCATTGTGAAATGTAATTTCAGAATTACAAAAAAGTGGCAAAAATAGGAGAGAGTACCCATAAGCCCTTCTGTCAGCCTTGCCAAAGGTAAACCTTTTATACAACCGTAATGCACACGTCAGACCCTGGAACTGTACTGCTGTGATACCACTCGTAACCCGTCTGATTCCAGCTCCTCCAGCTGTCCTTTTCTCTTCCAGGTTTGGCCCTGCGACTCTGATTTCTGACACTTCCTCAGTCTTTGTTTTTGACCTTGTCTTTTCTTAAAAAATGAGGTGAAACTCATAAAATTCACCATTCCAAAGCATGCGACTCAGCGGCATTTACCGCATTCGCAGGGTTGTGCCCCCGCACTCCTGTCAGATTCCGGAGCGTGGCTTTTATCTGAGTCGGACGATTTTGGTGACAAGAGGCCAGAGACTGTGTAGAAAGGCCTGGAGTTTGTGTTTGTCGGAAATTTGGTGTTGATTGTATTGGGGACGCGCGTAGGGGCAAGAGCACCACGGATGCAGGTGTCCAGAGGCGCAGGAGGCTGATGTGCCTCCTTAAGGCCACGCTCACTGCGCTGTTGGGTCAAGATGGGGTTTCTAAACTGCCCTACCACTGTGTTGCTGTTTTCCAAAGTCCAGGAATTTATACCTCAGGGGTGGCATGGGAAGAAGGGTGAAGAACAGGGCGAGGTGCTGGGAGCGGCCTGCGCGCGTGCCTCCCTTGCTCTGCACAGCAGGAAGTCTCAGCCCAGTGATGTCCGGAAGACGAAACCTAGAGCTCAGACTTTTTGTTTTTTAAAGGTTGATTTATTTGAAAAGTACAGTTAGAGACAGGACAGAGTCTGCCGTTCGCAGTTAACTTCCCCAGATGGCCGCAGCTCGGCCAAACCAGGAGCTGCATGTGGGTCTCTCCCATGGCTGCAGGGGCCCACATCCCTGGCCCCTCTTCCGCTAGTTTCTCAGGCCCAGTAGCTGCAAGCTGGATCACTAGTGGAGCAGTGGGGTCTTGAACCTGTGCCCACATGGGATGCTGGTGTTATAGGCAGCAAGTTAACCTGCTGTGGCACAGCGCCAACCCCTGAAACAAATCTGTACGCGGTGGTCTTGAAGCATGTCAGGCAGGCTGTGGCACTCCTGTCTAGTGAAGCCACAGCAAACACTCTACTGGCAGAAGAGAGAAGAGAAAGCAGGGACCCCACAGAAGGAAGGGGTAGGGGCCGAGAGAGCTGGCCTAGTTGCGTCATTAACTCCTTGGGGCTTCCCTACCCCATTCCCTCTTTCCGGGGCCCAATGGCCGAGCTGCAGCCGACAGCAGAGGCAGGTGAGTGGGCAGCCCAGTGAGGCTGCAGGGGTCTTGCATCGCAGTCCTCAGTGGCCATTGCATGTTAGCACTAGAGGGGGCTGCACCTGCTCCTTCCCCTTGCATGCCGTATCCTGCTCACCTCTCAACCTGCTGTCCCTCATGCTCAGCTTGCTGCTCCTCCCAAGGGGGAGCAGACGCCTTTGGGAGTACGTGCAGTGGCCGAGCAGCCCATGCCTGGACAGTCCTAGGTTGTGACTGCCGGTTTTCCTGCCCACGTAGCAGACCAGCCTCTGCCCTGAAAGCTAGATCTGCGCCTGGGGAAGGAGGGGAGTGGGAGCCAGGCCGGTGCCCTGTGCAGGCCCTGCTTGCTGCCCTCCATTGCTGCTGCCCCCCGCCCCGACCGGCCCCAGCCATGCACAGCCCGCAGCCTCCCTGACCGCTTCTTCCCCTCCTGCCTCCAGGGCATCGAGCGCCTGAAACGGAAGGGTCAGCCCCGGGCGCACAGGCGCAGCTGGAAGGCCGTCAAGGAGACCTTCGGTGGGGACTTCTCCCTGAACTGGTTCAACCCCTTCTCCACGCCGTGCCAGCCCAAGACCCCCAGCGACAAGGACTTGGTGCGGCAGGGGCCGTCCCTATCAGACATCGACATCACCGACACGACGACAACGACGGCGGAGCCCTCGGAGGAGACGAAGGAAGAGGACTCTCTGGAGGTGATAGACGAATAGAGGTGGCCGCGGAGAGCCCGACACTGACCGCCCGGCCTTCATTCGCGGGCGTGCTGCCTCCCTCCGACTGCGCACGCTCCTTCACCACCCCTGGGACCCCTTTCCCCCTCCCTCTCTGTGTTGATGCAGCTGGGGGGGAGGGGTGCTGTCCCCAGGCGGGGGCTGCCTGTCCTCTTCGGAGGAGGCTGGCGTCTGGGCTCCTTGCTTTAGAGAGCACAGGCCCTGATGTCACCATAGCTTTAGGGGCCTGGGGTAGGACCCAGGTGGCGGGAGAGGTCAGCAGACATCCCAGCTCATCCCTAGAATGGGCGTAATGGAAAAAGGCTCAGCTGTTGAGGCAGGATCCCTGGGTACACACGGACCCAAGCCTGTGTGTGTGACCATCCCCTAGATGCTAGAACCTGCCCCGAACAGACAAGCTTGGAGCGAGCCTGCCTGGCAGCCAGGGCTGGGCCAGGGACCCAAGTACTGGTGCCCTCGCCTGCTGCCTCCCAGCGGGCAGCTCAGCCTCTGACAGAAACCTCTCCCCCTCGTCTTTCTGCCACGGTGGACGAGAGCCGTGGTGCACAGCTTCGGCACACAGGGAGACCTTGTCACCCTCAGGCCTGAGGCACACCTCAGAGTCTGAACCGGGGTTCTTGTGCTCTGACCCCAGTCCCGTGGTCACCGCAGCAGCACAGAGTCCATGAAATGGAGTCCCTGTGCCCCTCGCTCGGCCTCTGCTCCTCTCTGGGGCCACTGCCCTAGCTGGCACTGACCCACAGCGAGGGCCGAGTCCCACCCCGAGGGGCCTGTGGTCAGCATTTGGAGGTCGGCCCGAGGGCACCGAGAAAGGGAAGCCACTGCGTGTACCTCGTGGTTGGCATCCTGGGGTGCTCCATGAAGGGAGTGATCCGTTGGAGACCCCAAGTCTTCTGCAGACCCGGCTGCTGGGTGCTGTCAGCTTTAGTCCTCGTGAGTCCGCCCTCAGGCCCAGGCCTGCACCCTACCTGCTGTGGAACAGAGCCGTGCTCTGGCCAGGGGGGCCAGCTGTTGTCCCTCTGGAGGCTTGTGGACCAAAGAGACCCCAGGCTGAGGAGGAGGAGGAGGACAGCCAGCCAGCGCCCAGGAGCCCCAGACAGAAGCAGCAGTTAGAACGAAGGGAGAAGGCTCGCTGGTCCCTGCAGCCTGTGCCTGAGGTCAGGGGTGTGTGAGAAGTGCCAGAATGCAGCCGTCAGCCGTTCCCTCCGCAGGCGGTGACCCGGAGGCCTGGGGCAAGGCCCCACCCTCCCCTCCGTGCTGACCCCGGCCACGTGGAGCCTGCCTGGGAGCTGCTCGCCAGAGCCACCCCTGGCTTAGGCAACGCAGTACCTTTTCTCCAGGGTGTGTTTGTGCTTAGCCCCAAACAGAGCAGTGCAGCTCATGTCACAATGTGCCCGGGTCTTACAGGGAAGACGGAGGTGCACACCTGGCCTCTCTCTTTGAATAAAAGGCCCTGTTCCGTGGCTGTGGCTGTACATTACACCCAAGTCACCTTTCTACTTCCACGCGAGGTTTGCCACCGGCTGCATGCAGTGGGAGGTGGGGCCTTTGAGAGGGGGCCATTGTGCTGAGGAAAGAACACGACCCCTCCCTGGGGCGCTCAGAGGATGCGACGGGAAGACAGCACGGTTGGCCGGCATAGAGAAGAGTGCTTCGGGACTGCGCCGGCCGCGGGACATCGCAGTTCAGTTGAAAGCAGGTGCGTCCCTGGGCGACGCTGAAGAGGGCAGGACCAGCAAAGGGTCTGTGAGCAGAAGGGCCGGCCCCAGCTCTCACCCTGCCTGCTGTGTAGAAGGTGATGGAGGCAGTGGAGTCCCACCCCCCAACATGCCAAGGTCAGCCGGAAGTGTCCAAGGACAGGCCCCTGTGCGGGCTGCGCCAGTTCGTCATCACGTGTGCCTTCAGCTACTCTCTTCACTGGGTGGGAGCTGGATGCGTTCCCAAGACTGCACCGTCCTGGGGAATTCGAAGGCACACGGTCCCACAGTCACCCAAGGGTGCCCTGGGGAGATGGAGGAGAGTGGCCCCACCCCTGGGCATAGCACGGAGGACTCCGCCCTGTGGCCGCAGGATGGCTGACCCAGCCTTTGCCCAGACCCTCCTGGGAGTCCCGGCCCGGCTGACAGCTGGTGTTGCGCCATACATGTTAGCAACTGCTTTCTGGTGAAACCACACTGCAGGGCTGGGCCAGCCCCTCCCTGCCCACAGTGGGCAGCTTGTAGAAACAGGGGAGCGGAGGCTCCACCCCTGGCAGCTGGCATGAGAGGTAAGGGCAGAAGGGAATTAAAAGTGGCCGTTTCCACGGGACACGCAGAGCCCTGGGAGCCTGCCCCGAGCGCAGCGTTAGAGTTTGGATGGACAGCAGAGCCAGAGCAAGCATCTGCCTGCAGACCAGCCAACAGGTGGAAACCCCAGGAAGGAAAAATACAAATCCGAAGTTGTACTGTGCCTTGAAACTTAGCCAACTAGGGATGTGTGCGGCCCACGTCTAGAAGGGCACAAAGATGGCCCAAGCCACTGGTAGATGGCCCTCGTGCCTCCCCGGAACCCCATTTTCCCACAGATAAATTCAGTGCAGTGCCAACCTAAATTCCAACTTTATAAGATTATTTAAAGGGCAGTTACCCTCCATCTACTGGTTCACTCCTCAAATGGCCACAAGCTCAGGCTGCGTCAGGCTGAAGCCAGGAGCTGCTTCTGGGTCTCCCACGTGGGTGCAAGGGACCCAAGCACGTGGGCCGTCTTCCGCTGCTTTCCCAGGCCCAGCAGAGAGCTGGTTGTAAAGGGGCGCCTCTCAGGGATGCTGACGCTGCAGGCGGCGGTGTTACTCACGAAGCCACGGTGCCAACCGAACAGATTTTAAACGACAGGACAGTAGAATTATACAAGGTGTGTGCGGGCTGGGTTAAATCACACAGTGCCAGTTCAAGGCCCAGCTACTCGTCCAAATCGAGCTCTTGGTACTGCTGATGGTCCAAGTGCTTGGTCCCCTGCTGTCCACGTAAGGGGAGGAGGAGTTCCCAGCTCCTGACTTCGGCCTGGCCCAGCCTTGGCCGATGCAGCCACTTAGGGAGTACACAAGAGGTTGGAAGATCTCTCTCCCCCTCTGTCTCTGCCTTTCAAAATGAATACTCTTAGCCACGCCCCTCAATTTTTTTTTTAAGACAGCTCTGCCCTCTGGTGGTTGACTGTGCAAATAGCTACAGCAGCCAAGGCTGGAACAGGCCAAAGCCAGGAGCCCGGAACTCCATCCACATCACCCGTCTCTTCTGCTCTCCCAGGTGCACTAGCAGGGAGCTGGATCAGAAGTGGGACAGGTAGGACTGGAACTGGCATGCACAGGGGAGACTGCATCAGAGGCAGCAGCTTAACCCGCTGTACCACATGCCAATAAATACTCTAAAAAATTTAAAGGTCTGGACAAGGAAAGTGAAAACAGAGGGACATGAACCTACTGCATATCAATGTGTCCTACAGAACTCCACTTAGACATCGTCATTGCAGTAGAAGACAAATAGCCAATTACAGAGTCTGAAGACTCAGGAAAATTAACAGTACAATAAGGGAGAACGGTGTCCGGCACAGTGGTGCAGATGCCATTTGGACGACTGCTGGGACTCGGTGGGTTGAGCCAGTGTTTGGGACACCTGCAGCGCCCATCAGAGTGCCGAGTTCCAGCTGCTGCTTCTGATGCAGCTGCCTGCGAGTGCACCTGGGAGGCAACAGGTAAGGGTCCCAATACTTGGGTGCCTGACCTCCTGGTGGGAGGCCTAGCTGGATGGAGTTCTGGTCAGCCCTGGCGGATGCAGACATTGGAGAACTGTACCAGCAGATGGAAGAGGTCTGTCCCTCTGCTCGTCAGATCTTCAGCAGATGGCACTCGGGACGACTGCTTGTCATTAATGCTGGGTTTGAATCCTTCATTCTGCCTCTGGTTAAGGCCCCAGGAGGCACCAGATTTCGACTCAAGGGTCTGGGTCTCTGCGGCCCACATGTGAGGCCATGAATGAAGTCCCTGCTACTCATCTGGGCGATGCCCTGCCCCAGCTGCTGCAGACCTCGGGGTTGTGACCCAACAGATCTTTTTTTTTTTTTTTTTTTTTTTTTTTTTTTTGACAGGCAGAGTGGACAGAGAGACAGAGAGAAAGGTCTTCCTTTTGCCGTTGGTTCACCCTCCAATGGCCGCCGCGGCTGGCGCGCTGCGGCCGGTGCACCCCGCCGATCCGATGGCAGGAGCCAGGAGCCAGGTGCTTTTCCTGGTCTCCCATGGGATGCAGGGCCCAAGCACCTGGGCCATCCTCCACTGCACTCCCTGGCCACAGCAGAGAGCTGGCCTGGAAGAGGGGCAACCGGGACAGAATCCGGTGCCCCGACCGGGACTAGAACCCGGTGTGCCGGCGCCGCAAGGCGGAGGATTAGCCTAGTGAGCTGCGGCGCCGGCCCAGATCTTTAATCTCAACTGAAAGGCAGAGGAACAGAAAATATTACAACACAATCATTGGGGTGGGTACCGTGGCACAGAATTCAGCCACAGCGTGGAGACCTGCACCCCATAATAGTGCACAGGATAGAGCCCTACCTCTGCTTCCAGTCCCGCTTCCTGCTGATGCACCCAGGAGGTAGCAGGGGATGGCCCCAGTGCTTAGGTTTCTGCCACCCACTCGGCCCACTGAGGAGGAGTTCCCGGCTCCAGTCTTCAGCCTGTTTTTTGGTGAATATCTGGGGAGTTCATCAGTGTGGATGAACAATTCCCCTGCAATCCCTGTCTCTCTACCTTTTAGATAAACACACAGGACCCATGCAGTGGCTCAGCAGGTTAAAACCCCAGGCTGCAATGCTGGCATCTCCTAAGGACACCAGTTCGAGTCCCGGCTGCTCCACTTCCGATCCAGCTCTCTGCTATGGTCTGGAAAGGCAGTAGAAGGTGGCCCAAGTCCTTGGGCCCCTGCACCCATGTGGGAGACCCGGAGGAAGCTCCTGGCTCCAGATCAGCTGAGCTGTGGCCATTGCTGCCATCTGGAGAGTGAACCAGCAAATAGAAGACCTTGCTCTCTCAAATCTTGAAAAAAAGTTAACATATAATACTCACTGAAATATGTATGTGCTGTAAAAACTACAAAAGTAATAGATTGACACAGTGGGAATTCTCTGTCTATACCCCATATATTTCATTCCAGATAAATACCAGTTGCATAAATAAGGCCAGAAATTCTAAAAAAAGCAGACTATGTCTGAATCCTTGGGGTGACCTGAACCTTAGTACATACAAAGGAAAACTTGACCAGTTTATTTACATTGAAATTTAAAAATTCTAATGGTAAGGGCCGGCGCCGCGGCTCACTAGGCTAATCCTCCGCCTAGCGGCGCCGGCACACCGGGTTTCTATCCCGGTTGCCCCTCTTCCTGTCCAGCTCTCTGCTGTGGCCCAGGAGTGCAGTGGAGGATGGCCCAGGTGCTTGGGCCCTGCACCCCATGGGAGACCAGGAAAAGCTCCTGGCTCCTGCCATCGGATCAGCGCAGTGCGCCGGCCGCAGCACGCCAGCCGCGGCGGCCATTGGAGGGTGAACCAACGGCAAAGGAAGACCTTTCTCTCTGTCTCTCTCTCTCACTGTCCACTCTGCCTGTCAAAAAATAAAAGTAAAAAAAAAAAAAAATTCTAATGGTAAAAGATGCTTTAGTATTTAAAATGCAGACTGTGATGCCCAGTTTGCAACCTCTAAACAAAATGAGACTAATAATAGTAAAATAAAAATCTGCACCACAATAGAGTTACAGACAGTGAGAGAGACAGAAAGGTCTTCCTGCCGTTGGTTCACTCCTCAAATAGCCACAATGGCCAGTGCTGCACCAATCCGGAGCCAGGTGCTTCTCCTGGTCTCCCACGTGGGTGCAGGGGCCCAAGCACTTGGGCCATTCTCCACTGCCCTCCTGGGCCACAGCAGAGAGCTGGACTGGAAGAGGAGCAGCCGGGAAAGAATCCGGCGCCCATATGGGATGCTGGCACCACGGGCGGAGGACTAACCAAGTGAGCCACAGCGCCAGCCCATGGTGCAGATTTTAAAACCTTGCCTTGGAAGGCCAGCATCCTCTGGCCGCCGATTCGAGTCCCCACTGCTCCCCTTCCAATCCAGCTCTTTTCGATGGCCTGGGAAAGCAGTAAAAGATGCCCAAGTCAGGAAAGCTGTTAGAGCCTCACCCTGGAAGACTGGCACCTGCTATGGGCTCCGGTTCGAGTCCCGGCTGCTCCACTTCCAGCCCCGCTCTCTGCTGTCAAGGGGAAAGCAGTAGAAGACGGCCCAAGTCCTGGGGCCCTGGCTCCTGTGCTGAAACCCGAGGAGATGAACTCTAACACTTGCAGCTACTTGGGGAGTCAAACAGTGGATGAAGACGTCTCTCGGGCTCTACCTCTCTGAGTAACTGTCTTTTAAATAAGTTTTTTTAAAAGACTCAGTAGAAAAGCAAA